GTTACTGATATAAATCTATTGAGGCTCCTCCCAAGCCCATGTTACCCTTGAACAGATCCTCAAAGGACCTTAAGAGTAAAAATAAACTGGTTTATCTGAGCCAGCTGTATGGTCTTCAACACCCAAAAGGAAAGTATAACCAGGGATTAAAGGGATCAATATAATTCTTTAAGAGTCCATGTGTATAGCTAAAAGGCTATATAGCAAGAAACGATGCTAGACAGGAAATACCTTCAAGTTGTTGGCCAGGGTGGCCCAAGAGACTCCCAGATGGTAACCCAGCATAGAACTGGGAAAGCGAACAGGAGACCCCAATCTTTTCTAAAGAAATATTGGCAACTGATTGCTGCTAGATGAGGAAGAGCTGATCTTCCTAAAACAAGGAACTCTAGATAGGCTGACTAGATTCAGCAGATCAACAAGCACTAGGGGGCACTAACAACACAGTGGACATTAACAGGGATGACAGAGTATATGGGCTCCAGTTGGGAGGTGGGAACTATGGGAAGGTGCTGTCAGTCCCCCCAGCCTCAAATTAAAACTTCCTCTCCTCACATGACTTCAGCTGTTGGTCTCTGATTTTTCCATAACACTACTAGTAGCTGTTCAGGCAGAAAACTGTTGCACAAATTTAAGGTTCCTAGGACAGTCAAAGACACCAAGAACTGGCAAACCACAGGGTCAGCATTACTATGGGTTTTCAGAGACAGAGTCTCATGTAGTCCAGATGGACCTCAAACTCACTATATAGCCAAGGCTGGCCTTGAATTTCTGATGCTCCTGCCTTGGCCTCCAGAGCACAGGGATTATAGCCACCATGTTTAACCTTTTAGTTTGAGTCTTACTCTTCAGTATGACTCTCAAGGAATCCTATCTTTTATGTCTTTGGGGCAAACATTGTTTAAACTGACACCACCCATAAAGCTGTTTGAATAAAGCCCTTTTCTGAGTCCAAGAGGCAAGATGACCAGACAAAACCACATGGGAAAAACATCTTTCAACATTATGTTTTACTGCCTTAGTTTCTTCCCAATCTACAAGGCTGCAGCAGACAGTAGGCACTCAATAAAAATGACTCAATGCCTACAGCTTGGAGTCTACACTTTGAGACTATCAGAGTAAATGACAGAGCAAGCAGCAAAGTGGGTTGACACCTGGCCAGCACCAGCTGGGGGAAGCTGGTGCAGTAAGAATTTAGTGTGAGGAGAGAGCAGACCAAGAGCCTCTAATGACGAAACCATGGGACTGAGCACAGTGCTTTCTACTGCCCAATGTAGACAGAGTACTTCTTGTAGCCCAATTCTGGCTCTAATTAAGAGGGTTTACCCCATTCCCAGCACGTAAACTCTGGCTTTTTATAATCTAAGCAGTGTGCTATTTTAAACATGTAGAGGAAATGCATTTTCAGTTACAAACATTTGCTCCTCTGAATCTATTCTCATTTGTTAGTGAAAGATGTGGGACAGGATGTTTTACTCTTCTGCTCTGGTTTTCCAGTATGGCTTAAATCTGTTTAGAAAAAGGAAAATAAACAAACAGAGTGCTTCTGCTACACAGTTTCTAAAAACCGAAGCAGCCCCCCAACCTAAATTTACGAAAAAATATTTTACTGCATTAATCTTCTTTTGATATATTAGGTAACTCATACAGATTCGTCCTTTGAAAACATGCTCATGCTCAGCATGTGGAATCTGATGCAGAACCTAATGTTTGTCAGGATTTTAAAAAGTACACTCTGACACCCCAAAGCAGCTCAATTCCTTTGACCCGGCCTCTTTCAAAGCGTAACTGTCGAAGCTTACTGACATGCATGTCACACAACAAGGAGATCTATTTTCAAGGCTGTTCTGGTTTTATCAGACAATCAAGGCATACTGCACCATAATCAAATGTCCCCATTTTCACATGCAATCCCAAGCACTTTTACTCAGATACTCAGTAGACATAGTTTTCCCATCTGTTATGGTCCATGACTGCTTTCAAAGAAACTGATTTGGGCACATTTCACCTCACTCCTCTTGTAAGGGAGTCAGCAGATCATTAACCTACTGAACAACATTTCACCAGAATAGCTCCCATCACAGCTCCTGGCTCCTGGTATCCCTCTTCAGATGCTCTCCACTCCAGGAGCTGCCCTGTATGCGTAGCCCAAGATTCTCTCCTCAACCAAACATTAGTCAAGACTCCTTTCAGTCCTATTCTCAGCTAAGCCTCAGCATTGTGCCAGGCCTGCATAGTCTGAGCTTAGGAGGAATCCTCAGGGAGTCTGGAGAGACTGCCCTAAGTAGAGAGCCAACCACCCTAACTGCCTTTAATAAGAACCCTATGAAGAAGTCTGTTTAGCAAGAATCTCCCTCCCCTTGCCATATCCTCTCAGTAGTTTTCTGATGTGGATCCACTGACCCACATCCTTTTTGCTGTAAATGCCCAAGTGTCCTTGCTGTGTTCAGAGTTAAGCACTCTCTCTTATCTACAAATAATAATAGTAATTATCCTAACAGTCCTGAATGAAGTCTTCCTGATCATTTTAACAACTGTCACATTATTATTATTTTTTTTTACAAGTTTTAGTGGGTAATGAAATGTCTTTACAAGAGACTGGAGGGAGGGAAGAAAGAGAAATATGGACACTTACTCCCTTGCTTTTCCCCTGGAAGGGGCCATGGCTCAGCTGAAGGCTTCGGCTCCTGCAGGCCGGCACAGCCACAGAATCCTGCCTTACATCACCATCAACTGCCCTCCCTCACTCCTTTAGGCCTAGGGATGGAAATGAAGTCGTATTACTAACAGCCCCAGGTACATCACACCATTCTAACCCTGTATGGTTTTCCATTACTTTGTGAGTTCTTAAACCCTCTTCAAAATTACCCTAATTTGAGGAAAATTTGTTTCTGCTGGGTGTCCCTAATTCAGATGTCTCTTCCAGAAGAGGCCCAGGTACAGAAAGCAGAAAGGTAGAAACATGAATGGCTCAGTGACTTACATTGACTCCGTTAAGCTGCCACTTCTCCATCCTATAGATATTTTCATAATTATAGTAATGAGGAATTTTCTGGAATAGTTTCCAAGTAGAATTCCAAAATGTCAATTAAGAAGACATATCCACAGAAGCCAGAGAACTGGCATGGTGGTGCAGGTCTGTGACCCCGCTCTAGAGGCAAAGGCAGGAGAACCAGGAGTGCGAGGCCAATCTAGCCAAATGAAGCCCCGTCCCAAAACCAGACAAAAAGAATCAAAATATGGGGGCTGGAGAGATGGCTCAGTGGTTAGAAGCACTGGCTACTCTTGCAGAGGACTAGGGTTTGGTTCCTAGTACCCACATGACAGCTAACAACCTTCTGTAAGTCCAGTTCCAAGAGATCCAAGGCCTCTTCTGGCCTCTGAGGGGCACCATGTGCACAGATGCACTTACACACATGCTGTCAAAACACCTGGCATAAAAATTTTATTTAAATAAAAAGAAAATAAAAGATGTTAACTACACTAGAACCCTAAGGCAAATGAATTTCTTTGTCTTTATTTCTTCTATCTCCTGGCTAGCTCCAGATGCCACTTCCAATACCTTTTATCAATTCAAGAAAAGGTGGTTAGTAATACCAGAAGGAGGTCTGGTAAACTATGAAAGTTCCTCTTTCTTTCACTCCTCCCTTGAGCTTCCTGGAATCACCTCTCACATAAAAGACTTGCATTCAAACCTTTGTCTTGAATCTGCTTCTGTGTAAACGCATTCTATGAATTGTTTAGAGCCAGGGCTACAAAGATGAAAAAAGAATATACTAGAAAAGCTCAAAGTTTTGTAGGGAAACCAGGTGGGGATTTTGAGAGGAAAAAAGGAAAAAAAAAACAAAATAAAATTTTCATGTTCATAGCAAAGTATGTTTAGTGAGGTGACGATCTCTAGCTCAATGGTCCAAGAAGCCAGGTTAGGAGCCTGGCCTATCTAGTCTCTGCTGCAGGAGTCAGCTGGCTAGTTAGGGCTAGTTCACTTCCCTGCAGCAAGCCTATGGCCTGAGGCTTATTTATGTGCTCAGCTCAAAATAATTCAGATACGGGAAACATAAAAGGAGAAAACTATCTCCCCTTTTTTGTAAATCACTTTTGACTTTTTTAATTGAGACGGGAATCTCAGTCTGTTGCCCAGCCTGGCCTTGAACTCCTGGGTCCAAGGGATCCACTGGTACCATAGGCGTACACGCTGTGTCTCCCTGACCTTATGTTCCTCTAAGGCCACAGGGTAGGGGTATGGTGGGGATAGAAGCAAGTACTCAATTCAAATTTTTTTTTGGTCTTTTTGAGACAGGGTCTCCCTATAGCCCCAACTGACCTGGAACTCACTAAGTAGACCAGGCTGGCCTTGAACTTACCTCCTGAGTGTTGAAACTAAGGCATGCACTACCATTCCTGGCTTTCTATTAAAAGTTCTTGATGAACTGTAATATTGTAATTCAAAAATTATTCTTGAGAACTTCCTAGCTACAGCCATGTAGCCTGTAAGTTGCCTTTTTCTTCTTCATGCCTTTCTTAATAAACATGCTTTCTTTAAGGCCTTGCTACCCCTAGCATCTTGCATTTCTTTTTCTCTAAAGCTTCCTTCTCCCAGCCATGTGGCTGCCAGTCAGCCATGTGTCTTGTCTGACCTCCTCCTCAAGGCAGCTGCCAAGATTACCAGCTCGCCTGCCCTGAGGATTTTTTTTCTTTAAAATTTTAATAAAATTGTAAAAACTTTAAAAAAAATTATTCTTTTTGGGTGTAAATTTACACGTTCAGCTCTGTGGTCAACACTTTAAATCCGGACTTCCTTCAGGCTGGGATTATTAAGAAGCAAGCTATGGCTAGTTTTTCTTGCAAATTCATCTGGGTAAATACTTCAGCCAAGGTAGAACAGCAGTTTAATTCTCTCTCAGGAAAGAAGCCATGAGAGCTGCAGTCAGAAGCAGGTCCAGGCACCCAGAACAGTTTCTCCAGGCTACCAAGCACCCCTGGGACCAACGAACACTCACCCTGACCCAGCAGGAAGCAGGAGCGCAGCCGAAGGGGCGCTGCCCTGCGGTTTGTCTTTCTCATTTTGCTTGAGGAAAGATCTGGCTTCCTTAGATGTAGCATCCACTTCCTTCGTCACCCTATACCAAGGAAAGAGACATCAAAGTTTAAGCAGAGTAAGAAACAAAAATCTTAGCAAAGGAAATTGATAAAAGCTAAGAACAGATTCACCAGACATTTCTTGCAATAAATTCTGCCTGCTGAGTCTTATGACTAAAGTAACAACCAGCATGGTGGTGCACGCCTTTAATCCCAGCACTCAGGAGGCAGAGGCAGGAGGATCTCTGTGAGTTCAAGGCCAGCTTGAGCTACAGGGAGACCTTGTCCCAAAAAGACCAAAAAAAAAAAAAGTTTACTCTAACAATTCTAGAGAAACACATTTTCCAAGACTAACATTAACAAAATGAAACAATATATGTAAATTTTACCTCCTAAAATCCCCTCCATTATGCTGTCAGCATGAAGCATGCTCCAGCAATCCCCATCAAGTATCTGTTCACTTGGGTACTAATGGGAAGGCTTAAAGGATCCTGCATTATTCCTCACCTGCAGATCAGCACTATAAGATTCAAAGGACCAGTGAGAATTGCGATGGAAGGATGGGAGCTCAGACAAAAGCACTACCACTTCAAGGTCAAGGACAACAGCGAACAACTGGAAATGCTCTGCAGAAAGCTGCCTCCTGCTCAACACCAAACACCCACACATGAAACACAATTCCTTAAAACTGGATAAATCAGCACTACTTTGGGAATCCCAGGATGTAACATTACCAATAATCCTGTTTAATTTCAAATTGAAATTCCATCTAAAGGATGGAATAAGGGTACTTAAGGTGTCTGAAATTTCAGATAACGAGAGAAAAATATGTATAGCAAACCTTGCCTCGGCAGGTGGGGCAACAGAAGCATTGGAGGAAATTTGTTTAAACTCAGTAATTCCTCCTATCAGTAGGAGGGTCCAAAATTATATTCAGCATAATATGAATATTCAACCAGATCACCTAGAAAGATTGGCCAAAAATAACAGATAAACCTTGTAAATTCCATCTTTGAGGCTATACAAGTCTCTACCACCTTCCTGGACAATCCTGGACAAAGTTTTCCAATTAAGGATCACCTCACTCCTGCACTTAATGCTGTGTGTCATATGAGTAAGTGGCGCAGAGTTAAGTTTGGTGGTGATATACTACTCAAGAGTACTAAAACCAAAATCTAAGGGGTTGACTATTCCAAGATTACACAGCCAATGCTAGTGAAAATTTGGCAACAGATAGTAGTTTCCAAACTACTTGTTACAGACTTCTTGTTCCACATGCTCTTCCAGAGAACCCCTTGAAACTGAAGAGGGTTTTTTATGGCTTTCCCCTACAGAGTTCTATGAAAGTGGCTATATAGCGTTTCCTAGACTGACTGATAATAAAAGATGGTACTCCTACCATCAGGAGTCTGAGGATGAACCTTTAGAATTCTCAGTCATCACTTAAGA